AATTCACTTATGTTATTAAAATCGATAGTGTGAAAAAATCGATTGAAAAATAAAATAATACGTTTATTTAAAAAAAATAGATTATAACTCATTTCAATTAATTTAAATCGGTTTACCTCAATTATTGACAAGAACTTATTAATATTATTAAGGATTTTATCATAAGATAATTATTTAAAAATATAAATGATGTTTGTTTTAACAAAAATAGATTATATCTTATTTCAATTAATATTCTTACTTTAAAAATAACATTACATATGACTAGTATAACCAAAATATTATGATGTGATTTCTCTTTAAGTAATTGGTTTAGTGTGTAAAAATCGTAAGAATTAAATCGTAGATCATATCATTTAATCTTTTTTTTTACATTTACATTTTATTCAAATATAGGTTCGAATCGTAAGATTTAAATGGATTAAGCTCAAGTCCATTCATTTTTTTTTATTATATTATATTTGTTAATAATTTAATTAAATTATTTAATAATAATGAATATGATAATTAATAATCTATTTAACATTATTTATTATAATCATTTTACACATTTTGTTTATGTTATATATATTTCTTGTTATAATAATCCTAACTATAAATATGAAAATATAAATAACACTATCAAATGATTATATAATTATATAACTAATGTTTTATAAATTATTAATTGTCATGTTGACTATTATTAATATCAAAAATCCCGACTAATAACAAATGCATATATATTTAATTTTGAAAAATTTTAAAAAATACGATTTAATTTAAAAGAAAGATTTAATATTGATTTTTGAAATTTTGAAAAATTTCTCAATTATGATTTTCACTTATAAATACCCATAATCCAATTTTCATGACTTTCATTTTATTTAGTTTATGTTCCCAGGTCTTAATCGTTTTTTTTTTTTTTCTAAAATTGTTTAATGTTTAAATTCAATTATTTTGTAATTTTGAATTTAAAGTTAATCTCATGTTTTTTCAAGTTTCAATATAAATTTTTTTTTGTTTAAAAAAAAAATTTGAAAATCCGGGTTGGACCCGGACCCAACCCGGGTGGACCCACCCCGGAACCGGACCCGGCTTCCCGCGGGTCGGTTTTGGGTCCCCTAAAAGTCGGACCCGGACCCGACCCGCCCCGTGGCCATGTCTAGTGGAGGGGATGTTAGTTGTCCTCTTTAATTCTTTCATCAATAAATCATCTCACATCCCTATTTTTCTCCTTCTCTATAATATTTCTTCATAAAAAAAATAAAGAAACACAAGAAGAAAAACAAGCAGAGAAAAACGAGAGAGAGAGAGAGAGAGAGAGAGAGAGAGAGAGAGAGAGAGAGAGAGAGAGAGAGAGAGAGAGAGAGAGAGAGGCATGATATTGGATACAGAGGAAGAGGGCTGAGTGATTAATATAGGGTGAGAGAAAAGTGAAATTGGAGAAAGAATAAATGAGATTTGTTTTCTTATTAATTGAGGGTGTTTATGTCTAGATACTAATTATTTTATTTTATTTATATTATTTTTTTGGGTCAAATAACATATGCCTATATTCATCTAGCAATTAAGATCTCTACCCATGTAAGTTCAAAATAAGAGGTGTCTAGCAAATTTCCCCTAAAAAAATGTATAAACAAAAAATAATAAATTAAACAAACAGGTTTTTCATAAACAAAATTAAATTAAATCAGTGGAACGGCAATTGGAATTAATTTTTCAAGGAAAAAAAAACTATGTTTTTTTTTCCAAAAGTATTAATCATGATATGAAATTTATCAAAATTCCATCCCTAAATTACCTCTCATTCATCGGCCCCAAATAGGTTGGACTGGGCTTCTCGTAAGGGGAAATTTGATAGTAGGTACAGTGGAAACATTAGATCATATATGATCAGCATTGGATCAAACTATAGGGCCGAGTCATGGGCTGGCTGGAAACATTAGAATTGGGTCACTTTGTATGCGGCGCGGTCAGTGAAAAGATACCACGCTTGGTGAAATATATTAGGTGATTTTAACTATTGATAATATATATATATATATATATATATATATATATATATATATATATATATATATATATATATATATATATATATGTGTGTGTGTGTGTGTGTGTCATGTGTGTGATTATGTGCAGGTCAACAGTTAATAATCACGCAATGTATTTCACGGGGTGTAGCCTCAAATAAACCCTTTGTATGCTTACAATTACAATTGTGATTGAAATCGAAATGGAATGATAGAATTTTGTCGATGTGGGAAAACATAACAAAGAGTAGAGATTGGGGTGGAAATTGGAAAGGAAATTTCTGAATGCCGTCGATTCCGATTCGAAAATATATGAATTAATTGGAACCGTTTTGTAATTCCGATTTTTTTAACGGAATTTAAATCATATATAAAATTACCAGAAAATCCAATATCCGATTCGATTTTAATTCCGAAATATATAATATTATAATATCTTTATAATATACTTATGATATATATTATATGAAAAATATAAATATCGAATTATGATAATTTACAATGTTGTTAGAACCGGACCGAACCGGCCGGTCGGACCGGTTCGACCGTGACCCGGCAATAAAGCGGTCCGGTCTAACATCTAAACTGGAAAAGTCAAAAATCGGGGTCAAATGACCAAAATCCGGTTCGACCGGGTAAAATCCGAGAACCGCCGAGTCAGTCAAGGAACCCGGTTTTCGGCCAAAACGTCTCGAATCACTGTTGCGTTGGTTATTTGTGGCTAGATTTGAGCGAATCTTCACATACTTATTAGTGGGTGGCCGGATCTAATCATGAGTGGTCGAAAGATTGTCAGATATGATCATGGGTGATCGAATAGGGGTGACCGATTGCCGGATTTGAAGAATAAAAAATGTAAAAAGATAGAATATAAGCAATAAAATATAGTAAAAAGTGAGGTGAAGTAGATAAAAACGAAAATAATAACTCGGAGATTAAAAATATAAAGAAAATAATATTTTAAAAAACATTAAAATTAATAAAATAATAGCATATTAAAAAAAATCAAAAACCTGGTTGAACCGGTTCGACCCTATAAACCCATGACCCAAATGATCGTCCGGTTCTATAGCCGGTTCGGTTCTGATAACATTGATAATTTATATATCTTAGATGATAGGAATATTTGGAAGAACCGTTTTTTATTTGTTATGTTAGTTTTTTTAAATTGTTGTTCTATTCAGATTTTGCAAGAACTATGTTGGGGCGTTATTGAACTATTTTTATTGTTCTTGTTTACATTGCATTTTGTTAACCTTTGTTTTGGATTCCTTCATTTTTGCCAGAAAATTACGAAAAAATTAGAAAAACTTTCTAAAACTTCCCATTTGTATATCCGAATTTGGAACAAAAATTTTGAATTAATGTGATTTTCAAATTTTTCAAAATTCCGCTAAGTGCAAGGCATTCTGAAATTGGAATGATTTTTTTAGTTCAAATTTTCTTGGAACAAAAAATTGGAACCTACTTTTAACTTTCGAAAAAAAACTAAAACATTTCAAAAAAAGTTGTTTTGGATCCATTCCGTCCGATTTTCACTCGTAAGTATAGAGGAACGGATATGGTCACTAGGTTTATATGATAGCCCACAAAATATCATCAAGGATATATAGTGATAGTGGCGTTTTTGTCTTTGCAGTTTTGTCACACCAAACAAAAAAAAAATAATAAATAAATAAAATAAAAATAAAAATAAAAAGGAGGAAAAAGAAAAAAACCAAAAAAAAAAAAAAAGGAAAAAAGTGAAATAAGTGAGAAAGAAAAGAAGGTGGATGCGATAATAACCTTATCAATTTGATAAGAGGATCACATGTTGTCGGCTTAGGTTGTTTTGAGTTTTTGCATATGAAAATAGCACGTGGGAAGACAAACAGAAAGAGACATGAAATATCATTTTATCTATAATGAAGGAATACTTTTCTTTTCTTTTTCTCAAAAATTCTCAAATCTTGTTATATATTGATCAAGTAAGGGCAGCAGGGATTTAGATCCTAAGGCTTTGTTTGGAACCGTTTTAAGACTTATTTAACTATTTTCGTCTTATTTTTGGGAAATATCTTTGGAAGGAAGAATTTGATAATGACATTATATTTTGATGGGAGGCAAAAAATTACTGTAGCAGTCAAATTATTTTTGAAGGTGTTGGAAAAAAGTAGAGGAACATTTTGAAATTTGAAATAATGTTTATTTGTTTTTTATATTGAAAATAATTTTACTGTAGAAGTTAAATCATATTCGGAGGAGAGAGCGTCGGATTGATTGTCACTCTACCGCGCGTCTCAATTCTTCTTTTGCATGCCCTAATTGGTCCTTGAAAGCCCTTGATTGTGTTCTTCACCCTTTTTCTCTTCAAATATGTCTCTGCCTTGTGAGACCGCAGTCTCACATTTTAGTTCAAATTCTCATACCGTAGTCCGAGGTAAAATTCTGGCGGCAATTCATTTATTTAAGGGTTAAATACAAAAGCACCATTGTACTATGACATTTGTATCATATACCCCATGTACTACATATAAATACAAAACTCTCCATCACATTGCATTTTTTTTTCAAAATATGACGAAAATATAATATAATGGTTTGTTTGAGCCATTTTTCACTATATATTTTACCATTTTTAGCCAATTTTACGGGGGACATTTTGGTATTTTTTTAATTTTCTGAATAAAATCTTTTATTTTTGTTATTTTGAGTTTCTTCATTTTTTTTAGAGTAAAAAGCAGTTTGCCCCCTAAACTATGGGTCGATTTGCACTTTACCCCCCAAACAAAAAAAATTTGCACGTTTTTACCTAAACTCGTTAATTCGTTGCACGGTGCCCCCTAAACTCAATTTTCCGGCAATTTTGACCGGAATGTTAAAACATGTGCTTTGCACGTGAGATTTTGAGGGGTAAATTCGTCCATTCACTTGCATCTTTAATATTAATTACAAATACATATTAAAAAGATAAGAAAAAGAAAATAATAAAAAAAACAGAAAAAAGAAAAAAAGGAAATAAAAGAAAAAAAGCTGTCATCCAACAAATCACATCGTCCACCTTTCTTCCCCAAAAACCACGAGACCATCATCCACCTTCCTTCCCAAAACCCAATCCATGTCTGCACCAAAAAAATCTCAAACAATAATTTAAAAAAATTCCAAAATTTTCCGACGACCACCACTCCTCCTCCTTTCAAGGATACAGCTTCGTCGGCGAGCCAGGTAACATTCTCCGGCGAAAAAATAACAGCACCATCGATCTCCGATAATTGGTGCTCTACATCTCCTCAACGGCCCAGATTCAGTTTAAATAAAATGTCTTCAAATTCGATTTTGCTCATATATCCATAGAAGATGGGGATGAGGTTAGGATCTTTGACGTCGGAGGAGCAGCGGCGGAGATGGTGATTTCTTGAAAAGAAAAATTGGGGAGATCTTTTTTTCACTGCTATGGTCGAACACTCGGTCGGCAAACGAATGAGGAAACGGGGCAAGTAATGGCGGCGGCGGGTTGGAAATAGTTTAGAGGTGGAAATGATGATTTGCCGGGGTGGGATTGGTGGTCGGTGATTGCGAGAGAGTGGAAAAAACCAATTGGATTATGCACGAATATCGATTGGAGGGCAAGCATTCTTTGCAAAATCTCCCCAAAACTGCTAATGTATATTCCCCTGTTTTCCCCTGTTTTTTTTTTTTTTTTTTTTTTTTTTTGTTGTTTGCTGATGATTGTTTCTTTTTTGTTTTTCTTATTAAATTTTCAGAATGAATGGGTGATATGCAGAATATTTAAGAAGAGTAGTGATGGGAAAATAGTGCCTATATCAGGGTTTGCAAGGAATAGAAACTGCGGAGTCGATTCAGAGGCGGCGTCCGATTTGCCTCAGCTGATGGATTTTTCCTCTGACGAAAATCATACAAGAACCACTTGTGCACGTGCTGCTGAGGGATCTCACGTGACCTGCTTCTCCAATCCGATGGAGGACCCACGAGATATAACACCGTTCGATGACTTCAGTTCTTCGTCTTCTTCGAGAAACTTCCGTTTCTCGCCTTTTCCGTTTGTTCTACCTCAGAATTCTGTTTTCCTCGATAGCAAAAGCTTTTCTAATACGAAGCGAAACGGTGATGGGGAATTCTCGCAGGATATGTGTTCCGCTATGTCGTCGTACAACGAAGTGTCGAATGTCTTCTTTTAGTAAATGCAGATTGTATGTTTCTGTATACGTTTTCGTTTTCGTTTATCTACTCGTTTACGTATGTCCGATATTTCGACGAAGAACTGTCCAAGTTTGCAATTAAAGATTCTTGCTAAATCTATGGAATCAACTTTTTTAAATTTTAATTTTCTTTTAATTTGTTCAATGTTTAATGTGAGTATTAATTGTAGACGGAGAGGAACAACAGGGGGTGTTGAATGGTGGTTGTGGCGGCCACAGAATTGCTATTCGGCGGCGGAGCGAGGTGGTGCTGGTGGTGGTTTACTGTAGTGGGAAAAGGGAAGGAGCAAGACGCCATTTTTATTTTTCTTTTGCGCAATTTTCAAGTTTTTCTCAGTTTTTCTTTTTCCTTTATTTATTTATTCTTTTTCTTTTCTTTTCTTTTTTCTTTTTTTCCTTTTCTTTTTTCTTTTTTTTTTTAATATTTATTATTAAAGATGCAAGTGAATGGACGAATTTACCCCTCAAAATCTCACGTGCAAAGCACATGTTTTCACATTCCGGTCAAAATTGCCGGAAAATTGAGTTTAGGGGGCACCGTGCAACGAATTAACGAGTTCAGGTAAAAACGTGTAAATTTTTTTTGTTTGGGGGGTAAAGTGCAAATCGGCCCATAATTTAGGGGGCAAACTGCTTTTTACTCTTTTTTTTACTTAAATGTCTTCCGCTAGTTCAAACATCCTAAGATTACAAACATCTTTACAATCCTATGATTGTTGAGAGTTTGAACTACCGGAAGACATTTAAGAAAAAAAAATGAAGAAATTCAAAATGACAAAAATAAAAGATTTTATTCAGAAAATAAAAAAAAAATCTAAGTAAGTAAATGTTTTGGAGAAAAAAAATAAAAATATCAAAATTTTCCAAGTAAAATTGACCGAAAATGTGAAAAAATATAATGGAAATGGCTCAAACAAACCATTTATATTTATAGGCTTATCATGGGTATTTTCGTTAGATTTTGAAAAAAATATAAGGGGGATTTTCGCTGTATAGTGCAGAGGATATATGATATAAAGTCCATAGTACAGAGGTATATTGTATTTAACCCTTTATTTAATTGAATTGACCCTGAAGTTAGGGTATATATAAGAAGAGTTTCCAAGGCAATTTAATAAGGATCTTTTGGGCGAAAAATTGATTGAATGTATGTCTGAAAAAATCTTGCTTCTTTCAAGGAACTTCTGCAGAAATCTAGAAACTTATGATTCTTTAACAACGTATGTTTAAAAGAAATTAAATGTTAAATCGCTAATAATTTATCACTGACTCCCTAGTTTCATTTGGTTGGTTTATAAATAGATTGAAGGTATAACGTTGTTAATTTTACTAGAAAGATAGAGCAAACATCTATGTATCCAACTCAATTGATCAATTGACAACCTTAAAAATCAAAATTGTGGATAATTCACAAAAAAAAAAAGAAATTAAAAAAAATGGTGAAAGCTAGCTTGACAAATGACAATGACAAGATGAGTAGTCCAATTTGTCAACTGAGGCAGCAGGGAAGAAACTACAAGTAAAGATTTATTATAAATCATTAAACAAAAAAGGACAATCTTGTTGGGCCCCACTAAATATCAAACACCTAATCCAAACAGAATCCTCAACTGTTTGGATAAGGCATCACCAGGCCCTCTGGTTTTTTTTTTTTTTTTTTTGAATTAATTAATTAATTTATTTTTTCAGATAAATACCAAAAAATGTGAATCCATGAAAAGACTTTGTTTCAATGAGAATATTAATGTAAAGGGTATATTCGTCCAAAGTAAGACATTCTTGCTAAAAGCATATAATAATTATTTAAATACAAGTAGTAGAATTTATCAGAACCAAATTTTATGCGATTAAGAATAACGGAGATGGTGTGAATTAGCTTTTATATGGTTTTTCAAGAGTTCAGATTTTATATCACACAAGTATAAATGTATAATAGCTTCCTATGGTGATACAAGGAATACATAGTATGTCTCAAAAATAGGGATACTGGAAATTGGGGGAGATGTATAAATATTAAAATGTAGGGCATATTTATAAATATACATCATGAACGTGTATAACTATAAGTTTTTATTTATAATGTTTTCATGTAAATATATTCAAAATAAATAGGGTTAAATACAAAAACACCCTAGCACTATGAACTTTGTATCATATACTCATGTACTACACATAAATATAAAAAACTCCCTCATATTATTTTTTTTCAAAATATGACGATAATACCCCTACTCAAGTATATATATATATATGTGTGTGTGTGTGTGTGTGTGTGTGTGTGTGTGTGTGTGTGTGTGTATGAGTTTGTTTGAGCCATTTTCCACTATATATTTTACCATTTTCAGTCAATTTTACGTGGGAGATTTCGGTATTCATATTTTTTTGTTCAAAACAAGTAATTGCTTAGATTTTTTTAATTTTCTGAATAAAACCTTTTATTTTTGTCATTTTGAGTTTTTTCATTTTTTTTTTCTTAAATGTCTTCCGGTAGTTCAAACATCCTAAGATTACAAACATCTTTACAATCCTATGAATGTTTAGAATTTGAACTACCGGAAGACATTTAAGACAACATGAAGAAATTCAAAATGACAAAAAAATAAAAGGTTTTATTCAGAAAATGAAAAAAAAAAAAATCTAAGTAATTAAATGTTTTGGAGAAAAAAATATAAATATCAAAATATCCCAAGTAAAATTGACCGAAAATGTTAAAAAATATAGTGAAAAATGGCTCAAACAAACCCTTATATTTATAGGCTTAACAAGGGTATTTTTGTGAGATGTTGGAAAAAATATAATATTAGGGGGTTTTTTGTATTTATGTGTAGTACATGGGAGTATATGATATAAAGTCCATAGTAAATGGGTGTTTTTGTATTTAACCCAAATAAATATTATGGTCAACTATCAGTTTGCAATTGATCTTTAAATCATTTAATTAAGGGAACATCTAGGAAATGTAGTTAAGGAAACACCCTCTCCCAAAAATAATCAGAGAAAACCGTTTTAGCTAATACCCCACCCAAATATTATTTTATAAATTCCAGAACCACTCTTAATTGTCTAATATACTCTTTCAAATCTCTAATCTCATTTTTCATTTTCCATTCTCCTTTCTCGTTTCTATCTTCTCTCTTCTCTGTTTTCTTTTTTCTCTGTTTTCTCCGGCAAATCTTCTCCCCCCCGTCGGCGCCGTCGGAAGATAGAGGAATGCAGGGAGTCTCCACCGCCACGACCACCGCCTCTTCTGTCTTGTCGATCAAGAGCCGGCTCGACGAGGTCGATCCAGTGGGTCTAGGGCGAAGATCCGCCGGTGTGCTATTTTTGTCCGTGCCGAATGATGCACCGGTTAATCCTCGCCGTGTATCGCCTCCCCGTCGGCGTGTGGAGGAAGAAGAAGAGGAACAGTCTGTTGAGAAAGAAAAGGAATCACTCGTCGTCGGAGGAGAATCAACAGAATTTGTTGATGAAGATATTTGTTTTTTTTTTTTTTTTTTGTTTTTTTTACTTTTATTATTTTTTTGGTGTTGATTTTGTCATGTGTTCGGAAATTGTTTATGTAGTGGCCAATAAGGGTTGACAAATACTTTGAATTGTTCCAGTTTTTTTTTTTTTTTTTTTTTTTTTTTTTTTTTTTTTTTTTGGGGAAAATGAAAAGGTAATTTGGGTTTTTTTTTGTATGAATTATGTATTTTTTTTTTTTATTTCCTGATTGGTTGAGTAATGTGGTATAGTGGTGGTGTGGTGACGATGGGGAGGCAGACTATGGTTTTTTCGTGGATCGAGCGGATGACGGCGCATGTAGAGGAATTCGCGCAGGGTGGAATCTTAATCGACTACGTACATGCTCGATAGTCGATTAAGTTAATCGACTATGCTCTGGTAGTCGATTAAGGTTAATCGAATCAAATTTTTTTATTTTTTATTTTTGGATTTTTTGTTTCTTGATTCCAATTGTATAAATCAATTATAATGTTTGCATATTTTTTGCTTGTGTAAAATATAGTTGATTTCATATTTTCTTTTGTAGTTGTGCTTTATTATTTTTAGTACTCAGATTCTTAATCGACTATGCTTCATAGGCGATTAATATACCAGATCGACAAAAAAATTAAAAAACGAAAAAAAATTAAAAAAAGGGAAAAAAAAAAATTTCCTTAATCGACTATGAAGTATAGTCGATTAATAAAACCGATACAGAAAAAAAGAAGTTTAAATAACGTAAAGAAAAAAAATGGGCTGATGACCAGCGCGTGACGCAATGATGACGTGGGCGCGTGACGCAAAGATGATGTGGCAGGCATGGGCAAAATTGAAAAAACAAAAATGGTTGTAAATGGGTTTGATTTTTTTTTTCAAATGAAGCAAAATATTTTGGGTCTCAAAAAGAAGTTATTGGGGGTTCTCAAAAAACCCCATTAATTAAGGGGTCTTAATTATAAGAACTAAATAATAAGCTCAATTAATTTTTGCTTCACATCCTTTATAAAATTTATTTCAAAAATGTCTTCTACATACAACGAATGAAATATGTACCAAATAATATTTAAACTGCATTTTTATTATGCATTTAACATTTTCATTTTTTGCATCTAATATTTTCTTTTATTTTTTTGTACGTAGAACACGATCTTTTTTTCCTTTTTAGTTTATTATTTTTTTCAGTATTATAAAAATCTATTTTTTCCGTTTTTTACATATTTGAAAATTATAACTTTTTGGCCGTATTTACCTATAGACATCCGTAGGAACCCGTAGTCAACGTAGTCGCACATAGTCATTTTTACACAATTCGAAAATTCTAACTTCCCCTTAGAGAGAGAGAGAGAGAGAGAGAGAGAGAGAGAGAGAGAGAGAAGGGGGTGGGGTGGTGTGGGGCAGAAAAAAATGATAGAGAAGAAAGAGAAAAATGAGAATGAAATGTGATTTTTTAGGTTAAATAAAAATGAAAGAATGTAGGTTAAATTTTTATATATAAATGAAAGGTTTGTCGAAACTCTAAAAACAGTTTTTTTTTTTAGTTATGTTTGTGAAATATTTATTTACTTTATTTTATTTTTTTTATAGCTTATTCAAAATTATTTGTTTTTTCTTTTTTTTTTTATAGAACACGTTTCGATTTTTTTA